CGGCCCCCTTCGAGAGCGAAGCGCTGCCTCCGGGCGGGACCTGCGGGCCGCGGACGCGCGGGGGGCCGGGCCGCGGACGCGCGGGGGGCCGCCGGCGGAGGGACGGGCGGCTGGCGCCCCTGCCGAGGCGGGGCGCAGGCAGGGCGAGTGCTGCCCGGCACCACCGCGGCGGCGCGGTCGCTGTGGCAAGAGCTCCAGGCGCTCCGCGCGTGGAGCCTCCCTGCTCGTCGCGCGGCGCCTCGAGCCCCACGAGCGGAGCTCCCGCACAGCTCTCCGCGGGCCCCCGCCCCCGCCCCGCCCTCCTCCCCTCGCCCCCCCCCCCCCGCCGCGCACTTGGTGGTGCGCAGGGCGCTGCCCCCGTCCGCCCCCCCTCCCCCCCTCTCCTCGTCCTTTGTGCCACTCTCTCCTCGCTCGTCCTTCTGTCCCGCTTGCCTCCCCTTCCCCTGCTGTCCCGCTCTCGGGCCTGCGGCCCCTCCTCCCTGGGCGGGGAGCCCTCGGGCGTGCACGCTCACCCGAGCCTGCTGTCGTGCTCGCCTGGCAGGCGGACCTGGGCGCTCCGGGCCCCCGCGAGGGGTGCCTCGTGTGGGCTCCCCCCGCTGGTCGGAGCGGCCCCACGCCGTGGTGCCGCGCGCCCGCGGCCCCTCAGCGCCTGAGCCCCCCCCCCCCGTGTCCTCCTGCGAGGCGCGGCGCTCGGGAGGCCCCTTTGGCTGCCACTCCACCCGGTGCTCCCTGCGCGCCGGGGGGGTGCTCTCCCGGCTGCTCCCGGCAGCACGCTGCTGCGCCAGCCTCGAGCGCAGGGCGCGCGGGCAGCTCATCCACCCGGCGCCTGGGCCCGCGTTTTGTTGTTGAACATTATTCCTTCTAAAGAATTATTATTGTTGGGACCCCTGGTGCGCGACCTCTGCGCCGCGCCTAGGCCGCAGCTACATTTTCATCATTTTTTCGCGAAAGCTTCAGAAAAGTGGATGAGCTCCGGATCCGGTTTTTTGTTGACGCTCGTTTTCCCTTGCAAAAAACAATAGAAAATGAAAATTCTTGTTCTTACTTGATCAAATTGCAAGAATCCCTTGCAAAAAATAAGGTAAAGTGGACATTCGTGCGCGCAAGACGAAATCCTTCCAAAACCTTAGGTTTCGTAGCGATTTTAACATAAAAACATCAAAAACCCAATGGTTTTTTAAGAAAAAATTGTCAAAATGTCCTTCCGCGCGCGCTGTCCGAATCCCACAAAACCAATGGTTTTTCAACATTTATGTTACATGAGCTCGCGCGAGCTACTTTTTCTTGTTCTAACATAATCAAATTTCAATAATCCCTTGCAAAAAATAAGGTAAAGTGGACATTCGCGCGCGCAAGACGAAATCCTTCCAGAACCTTAGGTTTCGTAGCGATTTCAACATAAAAACATCAAAAACCCAATGGTTTTTCAAAAAAAAATGTCCAAATTTCATCCCGCGCGCGCTGTCCGACTCCCACAAAACCAATGGTTTTTCAACATTTATGTTACATGAGCTCGCGCGAGCTACTTTTTCTTGTTCTAACATAATCAAATTTCAATACTCCCTTGCAAAAAAAAGTAAAGTGGACATTCGCGCGCGCAAGACCAACAAAAAACACGACGATCTCAGGAACTTGCCCCAAAAATGTGACCAACTCCGCTCTCTCTGTCTCTCTCTCTGTCTGCTCTCTGTCTCTCTCTCTGTCTGTCTGTGTCATGTATTGTATGTCACAATTGCAGGATGCTGGGCACACGCGCGCCCCGAATAAGTGACCAAGTTCTGTGGGTGTGTACCCCACGCCAGTGTAGTAGCCACGGTCGTCCGCACGCCACGAAGTGAAGTGTCCCAACGTCATAGGGCGGGAAGCTGGGTTTGGGTGGTCGCGAAGAGTCGTTTGGATATTTGGTAGAGCTTGAACTGCCCCCCCACGAAGTGGGGGTATTGTCTCGCGTCGCATGAAAACCCTGGCACTGGTGAGAACACTGAGCGTTCGGGTAAAATGATTGTTGTTGTTGTTGTTGTTGTTGTTTTTTGTTTGTTCTGTTTTGTTTTGTTTTGTTTCTCTCTCTCTCTGTGTCTCTCTCATTCTTCCTCTCGTCCTCTCTTTCCCTCTTCCTCGGCCATACGTAACAGTGACCTCTCGTCTGAGTGACCTTTGGTGCAGGCACTTCTGGGCCCCCCCAGATGGCTGAACGCGATGCGATAGCAGCGGCGTGCGCGCTTGGGTTTGCTCCCCCCACCCCCCGCGCCCCCCCAAATCCGTGCACCAGCGGTCACTCTCGCCTGGGGCCACTCTTGCGTGACGCCGTCTTCCTCTCTTCCTCGCTTCCTTTCTCTCTTCCTGTCGCAGAAGCAGGCACGGCATTCAAGCAAACACGCATGTTCGGCGCTCCGCCGACATTGGATGTTTATGCAGCCTTTTGTTCCTCCACTCCACCTCCTCCTCTCCTCCCGGGCGGTCCTCTCTCCACGGGGCCTCTCGGCGCACCGCCCACCCGGAGGGCGCCGCCGCGCGCCCCGATGAGCCTCGCGGGGGCGGCTGCCGAGGGCCCGCGCCCCTTCCGCGAGTTCGAGGCCCCGGCGACGTGATGATGTTGCGGCGGGAGCACGTGATTCGGGCAGGGGAGGACTGGGAGAAGAGGGAGGGGGAAGGAGGAGGAGGAGGAGGAGGAGGAGGAGGAGGAGGGGGCAGGCGGAGGAGGAGGAGGAGGAGGAGGAGGAGGAGGGGGAAGGCGGAGGAGGAGGAGGAGGAGGAGGAGGAGGAGGAGCACCAGTGTTAAGCCCAAGAGTCATCAACCATGCTGCAATAAATCCTCCCTCCAAGCCCACTCTTCATAGGCCCCATACAAGGGTTCATTTCCGCTGAGAGACCTGCCTTGTTGGAAACGACCGCTTGAAGACCGTGAAGCATGCCAACACACTATTCTCGGGGCTGCAACGCCACAGATGAACCTGACTGTTGCGTCTTGACGATCCTGACTCGTGCCAGAACGCCACTCCTGGGACTTCAGCACCGCGAATCAACTTAACTGTTGCGCCCTCATAATCCGGAATCTTTCCACACCGCCATGTCCGGTATGTTGACCGTGGGAATCTTTGAAACTCTTGCAACTATTGAAAAGGAATGTGCGCGGCGCTCAGGCGAGAACCACATTTTGAAAAAAGAACCGTCCTCAATCCGTGAATCTCTTGCACATGCTTTAAACGAATTTGCGCGGTGCTAAGGCGCGAGCCACATTTTGAAAACCACCCGCCCTCAATTGTAAAGCTGTTGCCAATTTTTAAGCTTCAGGGTCATAAGCGGTGAGGAAGTCTCTCAGCCGAGACGCCCAGCCCGCCCTACAGACAAGTCTGGTGTGAGACGGGGAGGAGTTGTCTATCAGGCGAAGGGATGGAAGAGGATGTGGAGGAGGAGGAAGAGGAGGCGGAGTAGGAAGAGGAGGAGGAGGAGGAGAAGGAGGAGGAGGAGGAGGAGGAGGGGGAGGATGATGATGCTGATGATGCTGCTGCTGATGATGATGATGATGTTGATGATGATGATGATAATGATGATGATGATGATGATGATGATGATGATGATGATGATGATGATGATGATGATGATGATGCTGATGATGATGATGATGAGGAGGAGGAGGAGGAGGAGGAGTAGGAAGAGGAGGAGGAGGAGGAGAGGAGGAGGAGGAGGAGGGGGAGGATGATGATGCTGATGATGATGCTGCTGCTGATGATGATGTTGATGATAGTGATGATGATGATGATGATGATGATGATGATGATGATGATGATGATGATGATGATGATGATGATGATGATGATGATGATGATGATGATGATGATGATGATGCTGATGCTGATGCTGATGCCGATACTGATGATGATGATGATGATGATGATGATGATGATGATGATGATGATGAGGAGGAGGAGGAGGAGGAGGAGGAGGAGGAGGAGGAGGATGAGAAGGAAGAGGAAGAGGAGGGGCAGAGCGGAGCGCCAGGTAGAGTATTTCAGGATGCGTGCCGGACATCCGCGGGCCCGTTGAAGGCGGCGCTGGGGGTTCCTCCACCTTTCTCGTCCGAGCCCACGGGCATCCAGCGTCCCGACAAGATTCACGGCGGACGTTCTTGCATAGTGCGAAAGCCTCACGGCCGGTGCCGCCGACCCCCTGGGGACCCCGGGGGCCCTCCCCCGGGGCCCCCGGGGCTGTGCCCAGGGCTGGGGCCCAGGCTTGGGCTGGGTCCAGGGCAGGGGCCGCGGCTGGGGCTGGGGCCGGTGTCGGGGCCAAGGCGGGGGCCAGCGCCGGGGCCGGGACCAAGCCCGGCCCCCCCCCCACGAGGAACACCTTGTCCTCAATGTCAACAGGTGGGATCACCCCCCAGGACCAGACGGGACCCCTGGAGGGCGGTAATCTGACCCTGGACCCCCCCCCGTCAATGCTCCTTAGCGATGAACACCCCCTCTCTCCCGCCCGAATCTGAGCCAACCCAGGACATGCCCCCGCTCCAGTATCCGAATGCACTCTGCCTCCACGGCTCGAGCATGCGCGGGCGCATCGCGACCACTCTGCATACTTAGGTTCTTGACAGGAGCGGCGGGGGTGCCGGCAGGCGCTCTGTTGCGCGCAAGTTGCGCGCAGGCCAGCCGCCCCTATCAAAAAACAATACAGAATGGACTTTGTGCCTCCAAATCCGGAGCGCGCGCGGGCGCCCCGCGCGACCACTCGGCGGGCGCCCCGCGACTGCTCTGCATGTGGTTTTTGGCAGGGAGGGCGGGGGCGCTGGCATATTGCTTTATTCGGGGGTGGACAGAACCCCCAACAGTGACACGTCGATTGGTGAATTGTCCGTTTTCGGTTCTCGAGAGGGCGCCGTGGCCCTTATTTTCCAGGCTTGCGCCCGCCAGGTTTTGGGCCTCAGGTCGTTTTCACTAAACCACGTTTTACTAAAGGGAGGTCTGTCCATTCCCGATTTATGCGAGCAGACCAGCCATCCCTGCCAAAAAACAATACAGAATCAACTTGGTGACGGCGGTGCAACGGCGCACCTCGCACGCACTGCGCGCGCCGAGCACGCGGCGCACGTGGCGCGGCTGGAGCACGTTGCGCACTTGGCGCTCGTGGAGTACGTGCCGCACTTGTCGCGCCTCGCGCGCTTGGGCCTCCAGGGTGCCTGGTGCACCTGAACCCGTGGCGCACGTGGCATGCGTGGCGCTCCTCGGCGATGTGCTGAGACTCGAGTGCTACTCATGCGTTGGGACGGCGGGTGGGAGTGAGCGAGACGGCTCGCGGTCTTAGGGGGGCCTCGACCCCCCCTGCCCCCCCGCCGTCAGGGAAGGAAAAAAGGGAAAATAATCGGCTCATCTACAATGTTTCTTTCTTCTGTTCGTTCCTCAATTTTCTTGGGACTGGCGACGACGACGACGACGACGACGAAGACGGCGACGAGGACGACGATGACAGCGTGCCGCACACGCCGAAGGGTGGGCTGATTTTTCCCGGAAAGGGCGCAGGCCCAGGGTTCTCTTTTAGCTGTTTAACTCCGGGTCTGACGGGAAGAGGGCCGGCAGATTTCTTTTGCGATAAATAACGAGTGGGAAGAGGGCCGGCGAATTAAAATTTCAGGATGTCCCTAACGAAACATTTGTTTTTCAGAATTGGTTGAGGATGTCTCGAGCGAAACGCTTGTTTTGTGTTATAGCTTGTCCTCTCCTGGGGACCTGAATTCAGAGGATCTCTCAAGTGAAATGCTTGTTTTCACGTGCCCAGGTCTTGAGGATGTCTCGAGCGAGACGCTTGGTTTCACGCCTCCAGGTTGCCCAGACAGATGTCTAGCATTAGGATTTGTTGAGGATGTCTCGAACCAGAGGCTTGTTTTCACGTGTCCAGGTCGCCCAGGCGGATGTCTAGCATGAGGATGTGTCGAGAAAGCCTCGATCGAGACGCTTGTTTGTACGTGTCCAGGTTGCCCAGGCGGATGTCTAGCATGAGGATGTGCTGAGAACGTCTTGAGCGAAACGCGTGTTTTCACGTGTCCAGGTCGCCCAGGCACAGCACAGCCCTCGGCACGGTACATCAATATCGATACCCCTAGCATTGCAGTCTGGCATGTTGCCTGGCATGTTCCGCGGAGCGTCCTGTGGCGAGTCCCCCTGGCACGTCGCGCGGTGCACGTCCATTGGCACGTTCCGTAGCGCGTCCCCTCGGCACGTCCCGCGGTGCGTCTTCGTGGCACGTCCCCTGGCACGTCGCCTGGCGCGTCCCTTGGGACGTTCCGCGGCGCGTCCTCCTGGCATGTCCCCCTGTCCATTAGCTCTGGGGCAGCTACTATGTGCTGAGGCAGCTCGAGCTTAAGATCCAGATCAGTTCGGTCAGGACTCGGGTGCAAATGAGGACTCGATCCACAACGCTATAGAGCACATTCGCGGCATGGCACATCGCAGTTCAGCACGGCGCAGCACAGCACAGCCCTCGGCACGGTACATCAAGATCGATACATTCAGCATTGCAACTTGGCACGTTCCGTGGCGCGTCCTGTGGCGAGTCCCCCTGGCACGTCGCGCGGCGCGTCTCCTGGCACGTCCATTGGCACTTCCATTGGCACTTTCCGTAGCGCGTCCCCTCGGCACGTCCCGCGGTGCGTCTTCGTGGCACGTCCCTCGGCACGTCGCCTGGCGCGTCCCTTGGGACGTTCCGCGGCGCGTCCTCCTGGCATGCCCCCCTGTCAATTAGCTCTGGGGCAGCTACTATGTTCTGAGGCAGCTCGAGCTTAAGATCCTGATCAGTTCGGTCAGGACTCGGGTGCAAATGAGGACTCGATCCACAACGCTATAGAGCACATTCGCGGCATGGCACATCGCAGTACAGCATCAGCACGGCGCAGCACAGCACAGCCCTCGGCACGGTACATCAACATCGATACATTCAGCATTGCATTTGCCCGTCGCCCAATCAGGTGTCTTTGTAACGTTGCCATGCCTTCCATTTCTATATTCCTTTCCGGGTTCGTGGGTCGATCATGCTTCTGCCTCGGGGGGTATTTCGGGACCCAGGATTGTCAACGAAAGCTGCCTGTGGTGAACTGCGTGCCCGCAGGTGTCGGGACTGTGGGTCCCGTGCAGTCTTTGCACGTTGGCTGGCGGTTTCCGCTTCGTTTCCACATGCAACGCATGGTAAGAGTTTCATTAGTATTTCGTGTCCCTACTATCACTCGTTTCGGTAATGCCACCTTGCAAGAGGAGTAAAACTAGTATCCACTGGGCTCCACTCTTTCCCCTGAAGTCCTCTCGGGGTCGTTCGAGGCCTCCTAAAGACCTTTGGCGGCCAGAAGGGGGCCAAGAACAACCAGAAGCCGGGGTCTCCTCCCCCCCCCTCCTTTCCCCAAGCGAGCGCCTCGCGCGTCCTCAGCCTGGCATTTCAATTGTACTTCAGTCGATTGCACTTGTCTTCGGCCCTTCCCAGTAGGAGGGCGGTTCAATATGGTGAACACCTCACGGCATAACTGATGTTGCTATCTTCAGATGTATGGGGCTGGAAGCCCAATTGGAGAGGGACAAACGAGACATGCTGAAGTATT